TATATATAATATAAAAATTAACATTAATTTTAATATATTAAATGATAAATATGAATTATTTTATTAATTATTAATAATTTTAATAATTATATCAAAATTAAAATTTAAGAATAATATAAATTTGACAACTTTCAGTGTCGCAATAGCCATAGTTCTCTTTGTCAGGCACACAGTAGTGGACCTAAGGATGGCAATTTTCTCTGCGACCCGCGAAGCTTCACGGAGATCCCCGCCACGGGGATGGAGATTCTCAGACTATTCTTACCCGTGGGATGGGGATTGAGGCAATTTTTGACCCGTGAAATTTTGTGGGGAATTTTCTCCACTTCGTGGGGAACTGTGGGGATCCATATAAAATAAAAAAAAAACATAAATTTATTTATATATATTTTGTTTGTACATATATTAACAATTAATTTTTACTTACCCAATGTAATTAGCTAATCCAATACCAACATAATTTAAATTTCACAATCCATTCTTTTTTCAAATTTTCCAAACCCAATTCTCACTTCTCAGCCCAACCCAATTTTTTTTGTGAATCTAATATTCCTATTTCCTAAACTTAATTGCCCAAATTCATAATTTACAGCCCAATTTACATATAACCATAGTTGCCTAGCAGAAATACATTTTACTTTCAGGCCCTTTTTTGCTTGCCACTTCTTGCAAATTCTAAATTAGGGATTTCCCATTCCTCTCTCGCCTCTCGGTCGACTTTCCTCTCCTCTAATCCTCTGCCACACTCTTCACTCATGCCCAAACTCTGCCCTCATCTCCACAGCCCACTGTGAAGTTTGAATCGGTGCTTCCGGCTTCCCTTCAACTCTCACTTCTCACCGTGCAACTCACTGCAGCCCTTGGCCCTTGCTGCCCTGCAACTCACCGCTCACCTCTAGTTGAGCTCCAAGACTTTCCTCTCCTCTAATCCTCTGCCACACTCTTCACTCATGCTCAAACTCTGGCCTCATCTCCACGGCCCACTGTGAAGTGTGAATCGGTGTTTTCAGCTTCCCTTCAGCTTTTACCTCTCACCGTGCAACTCACCACAGCCCTTGGCCCTTGCTGCCCTGCAACTCACCGCTCACCTCCAACTGAGCTCCAAGACTGCTGCTGGGTCGTCTCAGCCAGCCTCTCACCGTGGCACCCTACCATCAGCCCGTCACTGCAAGTCAGCACCGCTCACCTCCAGCTCCTCCAAGGCTGGGTCGTCCTCTTTCTCAATTTATTTGAATTTCTTTTATTTTCTTATTTTTGAATTTATATTCTAAACTTTTATTATGTTTGAAATTCAAGTTCTGACAATAATGGGAATTTCTTCAATTTATTTGAGGAGTTGGAGGAGAATGATAATGAGGATGATGAGTTTGAGGTAAATTTTAACAATAATGTTTCTTTATATAAATTATTATATAAAGAAAATTTTCTAAAATTTTGTTAATTTGGGGTATTTGTTTTTATTTCAGGACGTTATTTCCTCAACGTGAAATTATTGATCAAGTCTAGCTCAAGTTGCAGCTGTAGAGTTTGCTTTGCTGGATTGGATGGATATGTATGCATCTACCACTTCTTAGACTCTTTTATGTGCTTTTTCTTAATGAAGTAATTGCTGGACATGTTGGCAGCAGCTTATGCTTTTTTTTTTTCTATCAACTTTGCTGAATTTAGATATATATGACAGTTACAATTTATGCTTTTATTTGTTATAAACCTTTTGTTGGATTTGTTGGATTTGCTAGATTTATATGGCAGTTTATGCATTTTTTCTTTATGAAATATGAACTTGTTGCTGGCTTGCTTGCTGGACTTGCTTGATAATGACATGTATATATTGTTGGACTTGCTTGTTCAAAACTTCATGTATATATGTACTAAACTGGAATTTAATCCAAGTGAGCAATTAAGGAGGGCAGTGGTGCTGGAAGAGGGTGAGGAAAGGTGTCCTGTAGCCATTAGCCAAGAAACCTGTCCTTGCAATATTAGATGTGGTGTAAAATCATATGATTTTATGAAACTTGAATCTAACATATTCCAAAAACAAAGGAAGGTCAAGTCTCTGCTCCCTTTGTTTCTAGTAGACTCCCAAAATGAATCCAAAAGGTGCCCTCAAACTGTGAATTAAAATGCTTGTTAATTTATAATTATTTTTAGTAATACAATATGCATGACAACAACAACAATAATACTACATTTGAAGTATATTAATAATTAGTTCAAATCATTTTACACAATCAACAAGTCAAACTTTTGTGATAATCAGCCTGTATCTATTGTTATCCTCTCTATCTTGTTTTAAAAAGAGTGATCTTGATCATCTTTGTTTGCTATTTAGGATTCTGTAAAATTGCTATTTTCTTTTAGAATTTTGATTAACAAGCAGTGAAATAGGTAATACTTTTATCTGACGGGGATTCCGAATACCCGCGGGGACCTATTATTACTCGCGGGATGGGGACGAAGGCCTTTTTTGACTCTCCACAAAAAATCTTCGCGGTGATCCCCGTACCCACCATTGACGGGGATGGGGATAGGGAGGGGGTCCCGCCCCCGTGAGACCCATTGCCATCCTTAAGTGGACCAGCAAATTCGACAGAAAATGGGTACGGATGCAGCCAAATTATCACCATCTATAATTCTTTGCTACGTAAGGCATAATTGTGCTCATTTGGAGATGACTTTTTGAGATGTTTGGTGGAGTTTTTTAGAATTTTTATTTTTTTAATATTATTTATAAATTATAAATTTAAATTTTTATTAAAAAAATTAAAATTAAAATTAAAATTTCTTAATTTATAAATATTAAATTCTTAATCATTTAAAGTACTCTTTACAAACACAAAACACATATAAAAATTTTCTATAATTTGATGTTTTCGAAATCACACGCTAAGCTATCTTCATCCAAGTGACTACAAAATTGTGAATACATTTAGTGGTCCAAACACGTAACTGCATTTCCAAAATAAAGGTTCCGCACGTGATGATGTGGGTCAGGTTATTGCCACGTATCTATCTGTTAAATTTATATAAT